AAAAAAAAAAAAAAAAAAAAAGATTTTACAAGTTTACTTGCAAAATTGGGGAGCTCAATCCACCACCATATTCCCCATCATCCTCATCACTATCACTACTGTCACTTTCCATGTCAGAGCCATCTTTGTCAATCTTGTTGGGTATCAGTTCACGTCTCTTCCCAGAAATATTTAATAACTTAAATATTCCAATATAATTATAGGAAGACTTCTCTGCCTGATGAATAGGAAGCGGTAATATTGATCAATATAAGGATAAATTACAGCAACAGAAAATAAAAATTCAGAATGACTCGAGACTCACTTGTGTTCCAGCAACACAATACACTGTATGTGGAAACTCGGTACGCACCAATCCCGATGAATCTCGCAATATATCAAAACTGCCCCAGAACAAATGATATTATTATCAGGTCATTCAAGTCCATCACCATCAGAATTAATTTAGCACGTAAATCATCATTATTGAGACCACACACACAGGTGCTACAATGGATATCTAAAGTAGCTTCCTGGAATAACATGTTACAGTCGAACACCCAAACTCATTTTCCCTACATGCACAGCTACAGTACCATAGTCAACCAGTTGCATCAAGCACTCTTTTCACAGAGTAGCCGAAAGCCAGCTAATTAATATAAACTGAAATTTATCGAGCAGCTTCCATGAAAATCACATCTCCCCCAGCTCTCTAAAAACAATTAGAAAAAAAATGGAAAAAACAAAAAGTGTGCACCAAATCTACCTTGTAACAAATTTAGCTTAGCTCATAAGCTTTCTGTATTCAAATAACCTTGGTTTGGTAGTATAAACCTTTTTAAAAAGATGGAGCTTATCTCATAAGCTTCTCTAGATAGCTTTTCCAAAACGCACATTAAATTTTTCATTGTATCAACTAAGTTTTCAGCTATCAATCATAAACTACCAGCTGTCGAAATTCACTTATAAGCTATTAGCTAAATTATCAACTATAAGCTAATTTTCAGCTACATTTTACCAAACAAACCACACCAAGCTCGACTATATATAACAAGAAACGAGACGGGATGAGGAAAAAGAAAAATTAGACCTCAAACAAGGCCACCCAATATGAAAAGCGTGAAGGGAATTGTAAGCAGAAGGGTCACACTGAAGCTCCTCCCCTTCTTCCAGCTTGTCAACACCTGGTTGCCACACCTTAGCCTCCACCGTGGGCCCCGAATTTGACGACGATCCTTCTCCTTTCTTCGAACCCTGTTAATGGGCATTTTCATAACCCGATAAACGAACAACCCTGATCAACAGCTTCTTAAACTAACAATATCAAGGAATAAATATTGGATTTTTTATTTTATTTTTTTATTTTTTTTTTTACCTTGTTCTTGCGTTTCGCCATCTTTGGATTCTTCAAGCTTCGAACCATTTTCAGATTTTCAAATATAAGTGGAAGAGAGAGTGCACTCAGTGCAGAATTGTGAGCAGAAATGAGCAGAGAAGGGTTTTTGCAGAAGGGTTTTTGCGGTTAGAAAGACCAGATAGTAGATACTAGTTTGAGCCCAAACAGGTGGGCCTACATTGTTACGGTAACTGGGCTTGAGTAATCACACATGGTTAGTATATCTGACAATGTGCTCACTGAATAGGTTCTCATGGCCCATTTATCGTTTTGATTGTCTATGAATTTTACAGTAAATATCTCACTCAAAACTCAAACTTAACTCAACTCAACAATCTTCAATATTATCAATATAATTAAATAATATCAACCAATCATTATTACACATTACATCAACTTTAATTAACTATTCATCCACTCACATAATTTTAACTAACTATCACATCCTGTCATTTTCTCCTATTTTTATATCAAATCAACTTTAATTATTTTAATTTATATATTATATTAATATATCCACTAACAACTAATCATACTACTTTTCTTTCAAACTTAACTATAATTAAAAAAAACTCTAGTTTTTTACTAGTTAAATTCATATCCAATCACCCCTAAAAAATTAATGAGTCTCCAATAACTAATGTTAATTATTGTAACAATTGTTTGGAAAGGATAAATAAATTAATGAGTCTCCAATAACTAATGTTAATTATTGCAACAATTGTTTGGAAAGGATAAATTGTATATAGTAGGGTATTATATTTAATAAAAGATGTCTAGTAATACTTGAAAGGCTTGTGGTCAGTCTCCGTGCCACGTGGAATTTTTTAGGATAGGTAAGCGAATATCTAATTAAACATGTTTTTTTTTCCAAACACCCCGAGGAATGGAGATTAAGGCCGAACCCTCAATCTGTATATAGTAGACTCTAAATGGGCTGAAACATCACAAAAGCTACAAGTCCAATGTCTGATGTACATAAAATCAAACCAAAAAAAACAATAAACAAAAATAAAAGCAAGCAAATATACAATGAAAAGCTGACAACTGTCGTGAGAATACAAAAGGAACAAATCTTGGTCCGGGGAGTGTCTCGGCAAAAAAAGTCAGCATCACAATGTGGCAGATGCGCCAAAACGTAGGGTCGGCTACACAAATCTGAATGAAGGATATCTCATTCGTATGAGAGTGCGGAGGCAGAGAGGAATATCGTCAGGGTAAAGAATGCGTCTCTGGGTGGTGAAGGACCCGATGCCAGCGAGGAAAATCAGCAGGCCGGTTCCCCTCGCGGAAGATGTGCGAGATCCGAGAGCGAATCGACCGAAGAGTGGCTCTAATACGCATGAGCGGATGCTGAATTTGTCACGTGCCCTGATGGCCAGATGACAAGAGAGTGATGACAGCGGCAGCGTCCAACTCTATCCAAATGTGAGAGGAGATTGAAGCGGCAATCTGAAGACCGATCTGAAACGCCTGAACCTCTGCGTCATAGCTCGAGGAGGCCCGAAGAGAGGCATGGAAAGCGGTAACGAGGGCGCCGCTATGATCCCTAATCAAGCCCCCACCTCCTGCAACTATATCTAATAGAACATATCGTCTATTTTGTGTTGTATGATATGAAGAAAGAAAAAAAAAATGAATCTGTAATGGTTAATACTATTTGTGGTATAATTTGAAACGTGTAAATTGTAATTTATTAGAGAATAGAATATAAACTAAATAATATAATATATAATTGCTAAATATTTTCTATGTCACATAGAATTGTTTGTGTATGATATAACTACCAATGGAAGGGTAGGCTCTCTTTTTTTTTTTTTTTT